GATCCTTCAGAAATCATTCTAATATGCTGAATTTGATGCTCAAGAAACATTTTATCAACACTGCTAAAATCAGTTGCACTTCTTAATATTTCTGTAGAAACAGTGATATTGATAGTATTGCCCTTTAAAAAAAAAAAATACTATTGTTTTTCTGTAATTTTATAACTGCAAATATCTTAGTGACCCCGAGCCTGGGACTGTAGTATATTTAATCTATAGTATATTAAATTAAAAAGTGTGTAATATCAGCCAGTAACCAATATTGTACCGGTATATTGTGCATCCCCAAATAAAACTCTACAGTTTTCCTAAAAAGCTGAAACAAGAGAGTAATCCTCTAATCACCTGTTCAAACTTCCAGCCATCTGACATGGTGGAGACCATCTGTGTCAGTTCCTCCTCCTGACACTGCAGGACTCTGTAGACGTGCTTCACAGGGAGCTGAAGAAAGAGGAAACGCACGAGAAGACAGAAAAATACTATATGAAGAGGCAAGGCAAACCTTTTCTTGCTTTTTTTGTCAGTGCTCTGATTTAACTGTAAAATGTTAAGAAATCTGCTGAGAAGGCATATTTGTCATGGGATACTGCAAGAACATTTTGAAAGGACCTGGAAGTGCTGTGGAAGATGAACCTATGCAAAAGAAAGGTCTGCAGAATCACCCAAGTTACAATTTTTCTGACTGATTAACATGTTTGAAATCAGTGGGCCTCATTTATGAAACACGAACAGAACAAATGTGTAAATACTCTGTTTAATAAATAAAGTCTTTCATATTTATGGGCTAAACCAATAAAAATGTATTTGTTTTTTTTTTCACTCAAGGCTTTTTATTTTCAATCATTTGAACACTTTGGAATATCTTTTTTTTTTTTTATTATTTGTGACCATGGGCCACAAACCAGTCATAAGGGTCAATTTCTCTAAATTGAGGTTTATACATCATCCGAAAGCCGAATAAATCATCTTTCCATTGATGTATGGTTTGTTAGGATAGGACAATATTTGGTCTAGATACAACTATTTGAAAATTTGGAATCTGAGGGTGCAAAAAAATCAAAATATTAAAATTAAGTTTTAATATATTTACGGTAGGAAATTTACAAAATATCTTCATGAAACATGATCTTTACTTAATATCCTAATGATTTTTGGCATAAAAGAAAAACTGATAATTTTGACCCATACAATGTTTTTTTGGCTATTGCTAAAAACATACCCCAGTGACTTATGATTGGTTTTGTGCTCCAGGGTCACATATATGAGTTAGTTTCATGTTTCCAATGAGCACAAGTAGATATACAATATACTTTTATACCCCTGCAGCACAACCCTTTTTCTATATTTTTAGGATTTACATACTATTTTTCTAACAATATACTTAAAATTTTGTTAGATATGTAAAGTAGCATAACAATCGTAAAATAAAAAAAAAAGAAAATAAATCCAAATTACATTCAAGTTCCCAATTTGACGTACCTGAGCCGTCTTACAATCCCTCTCCCTGACTTTGTCTTTGACCAGTTTAATCAATGAAGTGATATTGTAGAATTCAGCCTCTTCCAGCACGCCTGACGGATGAAACAGATGAAATATTTAATCAAAAACCACATATCATACACAAAACAGCTTAATGTCACAAACAAGTTTCAGCTGAATTTAGCTGCCAGTGAGAAAACAGAAGAAACCTAACAGCATGTTCAGACATATCTTACAGTTCTTGATGGCATTCCCATCATACCTTCCTCTGCTAGGCCTCGGTTCAGCACCAGCTTTCCATGTCTCAGATAGTTGAGCACCGGACCAAAATAAGTGGGATCGCGGTCTATCAAATAAGCACCTGTTTCATCCTGGATGAGGAAAGAGCATTGTTAGTACCATTAAGACTCGTCTCCAAAGGATTTCAGCATAAGAGACATCATTTATTCAAATGTGGATTATTAAATCAGGCTTAAATGACTTAGCAGCTCACCAGATAATTTGTTTAGACCAGTATCAGTACTGAAGAGTGTCTGTTAAGACAAGGTGTGGCTGACATTTAACATACATGCTGCAGAGCCCATAGGGACGCTGATCCATCTCCAGCACAACATCATTACCACGGATCAATACTCAGGTCGGAAAAGTGAGCTTTATTCCACAATGTTTACGCTCAAACTAAAGCAACTGGCAAGTGAAACTTTACAGTTCAATCACGCGACGCAATGAAAACTTCTTTAACTGTAAGAAATATTTTTGACTAAGCCGACGGACAGAAGAAATTCTTTGTCTTTTTAGCGGCTTTCAACTGTCGTTGCCCTAATAAATTATGCATACTGAGTCTGACCTTTAAAAGTTTAAAAGCATCCAGGCAACCCTATTTCATCTTCTGTCACAAAGAAGAAACTAGACGATTTATTAAAACGACCAATATACTTGTTTGACATGATAAATAATCAAACTCGGTGCATAACATATATTAGCACTAATTAAACCAGTTTAATTAGTTGCCAATTCTATTCTGGATCAGTTCCTCACAAGTATAGCGTGTTTTAAGTATTAAAATAGTTATTTATTCATTGAGTTATTCACATCATTATTCAGTTAGTTATTTTCCATTTTGCTGGCAATTTAAAAAAAATTTAATAAAGGAATGAAAACCTTAAATATGTAAACTAATTAAAAAAATTACAAAAACATAAACGTATATTATTTCCCTACTGGAAACTGACCAGCAACTCAATAGTTTTTTATTGTTTACTCCAGATAAACACTAGCAAAAGTATTTTATTGTTTAATAGGATAATTAATATTAATTAGGGTTGCAAAAAGGTGGAACATTTCCAGTAAATTTCAGAAACATTCCAGAAATTTTGGAAAGTTTCCAGGATTTTTTTGGAATCTTCCAGGGATTTTTGGAAAGTTTCCAGAAATGTTACCCTAGATATAGATAGATATAGAGCCCTAATATTAATACAGTTCATATTTTTACAGTTTAATCTGATGAACATTAGTAAAATAGTTTAACTGGTTTAGAACACAATTTTAACACAATAGTTAATATATCTTTGGTTTATTCAGATAAACAGTAGTAAAAATACTTTATATTTCGGTAACACTTCACATAAGATAGCATAGCATTAGACAATATATTATGAACTACCAATGAGCATTTAATAATCTTGGTTAATTGTCATACATACATTATTATGAATTGCTAGCTAATGTGAAAATATAGAATTGTACATATAAATGCTGTAAAAGTATTGCTCATTATTAGTTCCTGTTAACTAATGCCTTTAAACAGAGTCTTGTGAAGGGTTACCAATATGTAAAGAGTTTAATCAGATAATAGCTAGTCACTTAGTTTCGAAGTTTCCAGCCAGACAGACGGTTACTAACAAAGACTAGTAATCTTAGTAATATATAAGGTTTACTTGGACAAGCATTGTTCTTCAGTTAGCACTTGACACGTAACGTAATAAAAAATTATAGACGAGGTGTTCTCGTATTGCAACATTAAAGGCTTAAGCGAGCTGATGCTATTTAAAATATACTGCAAACGACCTCTTTTACTAACGTTAGATCTGACAGCCTAGAGCTGACTTTATTTGGCGAACAAGCTACATCAAGTGTTATCGGCTGGGCTAAGCTAGTAAACGGAGCTCCATTCACTGTAACTTTACCAGCTAGCCGTCTAACGTTAGCTACAATATTAAAATACACCAATATAGCGAAATGAAACACCACACAGACCCGTCATTTTGAGTTTTTCCAGGTTAACCGAACTGTTTAAAGCCCAGATAAGCGAAGTGGCGGCTAATGTTTATTGTCATGCTAGCGGTATAATAAATACCTTGTCAGAGTCGAGGTCGGGGTCGGCCTGGCACAGGCGGTACAGGAAAGACTTCGGGTCTCTGCACAGCGTTTGTCTCGTCGTGAGAAAGTACGTGCCGCCGACGTTCAGACGAACCCATTTGGACGAGCCGCTTGCAGACGGCTGCAGTCTCTCTCCGGGAGAAAGAGCGGGACACCTGCGAGCGCTCGAGCCGCTCGGGTCAGGGCTCTTCTCCGCCATCCCTCCTCTGCTCTCCCGCTGCCTTCACTGATGATGGAAATGAGCGAGAGCAGGAAGTGTGCGGAGTTTGAGAGCCTCTGTGCCCTCCCATCCAAGCCAAACACACCGACTGTGTCTCCAAACACAGTGCTGACTATCCAGACCGCACACTTTTGGCACCCAAGAACACTGCGCGCGCAGGGATGCCCAAGAATTCTGCCTAGATAGGTAGCTGGGTAAGCTTTGACACACAACCATGATTGTGTTTTTGTTTTGTTTTTTATTCAAACTGTTAAGACTTTTTATACCCTACAGGAATTTTTTTTCTTTTCCTTTTTTCCCTCAAACTTCTTCTTTTTTTGTTCTAAGAAATTATGTAATTAAAAAAGCAGAAGTGGGCTGACAAGGACGTCATTGAAAAATCATGCTTTGGTAGATCTTAAATATGTGACCCTGGAGCACAAAACCAGTCACAAGTCGCTGGGGTATATTTTTTAGCAATAGCCAACAATACATTGTAGGGGTCAAAATTATCGATTTTTCCTTTAAGCCAAAAATCATTAGGATATTAAGTAAAGATCATGTTCCATGAAGATATTTTGTAAATTTCCTACCGTAAATATATCAAAACTTAATTTTTGATTCGTAATATGCATTGCTAAGGACTTCCTTAGGACAACATTAAAGGCAATTTTCTCAATATTTTTTTTTTTTTTTTTTGTACCCTCAGATTCCAGATTTTCAAATAGTTGTATCTTGGCCAAATATTGTTGTATCCTAAAAAAACATACATCAATGGAATGTTTATATTTCCAGCTCGCAGATGATGAATAAATGTCAATTTCCAAAAACTGACCCTTATGACTGGTTTTGTGGTCCATGGTCACATATAACAAAGTGATTATGACATAGCTTAAAAGTCGAAACGATGAGACAAAAAGTGAATTATGACATACAAAGTCAAAATTATTACATACAGAGTAATAATTACGAGATAAATAGATGAAATTATAAATTACATCAATGGTAAATATCAATTATGACAAAGTAAAAAGTGCATTGTGTTTTAGGATTAAAGAAAATGTCTGTGAACTTAAAAAAATTGTGAGATAAAGTCAAAATTCTAAGATAAAAAGTCAGTTATGAGATAAAAAGTCATACTTATAAAATACTATGAGATAACAAACAAAAATGTGAAATTATGAGGAGCTAAGTCATAATTATGAGATTCAAATTTGAAGTTGTTATAAAAAAAAGCAATTAAAGCATACTAAGTCAAAATTATGATATACTAAGTCATAATTGATAGAAGTCAAAATTATGAGATACAATTGTAAAAGTTGAACTGACTACATTTGGACTATCCGTCTTAGTCATAATTTTATTTGCAGTCATAATTATGATTTACAAGAGGAATATACTTTTTCTTATTCTGTGAGAACAGGCTTCCATAATGAAATAGGTAGTGTTTCTTTGGTTTAATTAGATAAACATTTAATATATCAATTGCTTAGTTTGACAAACACAAGTAGAACAGTTCATATTTCAATGGCTTAGATAAGTATAGTGATCTAGTTTATATTTCTATGGTTTAATCAGATCATTTACCTGCATCAGTGCTATGTGAGTGTGCATGCTTGTGTTCTCGTGCAATAAGCATCGAATAAAGACTGTTTGAGTGAGCCACGTGAAGACTGATAATACAAAAGACAGTACAGCGAATAGCAGGCATTCATCATCACTTGATGGTCCTGCTATTGCTACAGTATAAAGTGAGATGTGTTTCTCATAGCTGTTGTTTTTCTGTGTATGTTTACCTAAAACCTGGAAAGCTGAACGGTGAGTTCATTCGGTATGACCTCATTTCAGCGCTGCAAGATGTTGAGAAATGTAAACGGCCAGCATACATGAGAGAGCCAAATGTACAAGACATGGAAAGTCTATTGGGAGCTGTTGTCTTAGCACTGCTGTCTCGCACATGTCAGGAACACAAGCAGAAAGATGTTACTCTACATATACACTTTTATTAGCATGATTTTCTCCTGGACATTCTTTAGTATCATTAAAGGTGCACAGAAACCCAAGGGCATAAACATTGAATCTGATATAATTTAAGTGACCTGATTAGGACACACAAAAATCTTGCAAAATATTACAGCCATCATTTACATTCAAAGGCTTTACATCTCAATATTTACAATACGTGGCCCCTGAACATGAGTGCATTAAAATCTCTGAATATTAGAATATAAATAATATTAGGTACTACAGGCTGAGCCACTGCCAGCAAATGGCCTTATATAAGAATAAAATTATACAAGGTGCAAATCCAGTAACACCGTGTTACTTTCTGAATAATACATCATCTGTACATCACAGTTACATTCGTTGACAAACCTAGTCGTGTTATAAATACACGATTGAACAATTCCTCAAAAAATGCAAGGAGAAAACACAACAGAAGAAGAAAAACACACTTCTGTGCTTGGTTCTCACTTAGTTACAGCATTTTCGTTTGTCTGTGCTGGACCAGCATCCTTTTAAATGTACAATAAAGTGGTCAAAAACTGCATCTGCAAACACGGCCCTTATTTACAGTTGCGATTCTCTTCACAGCTCAATTCCCGTAGGTATAACACCATATTTACAATGCAAGAGAGTGACCCGGCTCGACAAAATGTGACTGTTGACAGCCGTCCGCTTTTGTCGCAACACCTAAGGCTGCTCGCTTGCTGTGCATACTGTGTAACGTACCTTATCAAGTACTTATTTTCAAACTAAACCAATGTTTATAAATAAAGTATAATATGAAACAAATATATACAGCAGATTTACGGAGCCCAGTGCAAGTTTCACATGTGAAACCACAAAAAAATCCATTGCTGGGTACATTTCAGACTAAATATAACGGCTCAAAAGTGATTCTTTTTCAGATGATGATAATTACATGTAATATGATATTATACAGGTGAACAACATGACTTAGAGAATACATATAAATATATTAATGATATGTGTATCAATTTAATATGTACTTGACCTGTAGGATCATTTGAGTGTCCTCTATAGCTATCCTTATTATTTTAAAAGGCAACAGATTGAGTGTTTTTTCCCCCCAAGCTTTAGGGATACTTCCTATGTATATACATATCTACATGCACATATATAGAGTACAAATTGTGGATTTGCTGAGTTTTACTAATCTTTGATTTTATATTACACCTGCTAAATATGACAAAAACACTGCAAGCAAAACATATTTTTACTTCAAGAAGGAATGTTGATGCACTAGTCCCATAAATGCACAGTTGACTTCCTGATTGGTAGCTGAATGGTGAAGGACTCAGACCTCTAAGACTTGCCTTGACTCCAGTGGTCTTCTGATGCCCCAGCATGCCAGTAGTCTCTTATTAGTGATATACTGTTCCCCACACCTCTTGAATCTTCTTACACCATTTGTCCGCATTACCATTGGGATCCATGAGATAATATGTCCTGTTTGGCTGCACATGAGAAAACAATAAAAAGATTTAGCAGCATTTAGCAAAGTCCCAAGAAGTACCGTGATATCACCATGTTTTCTTTGGATATGTAACCTTAGAGCACCATGTTAATACTACGTCATATAAATTATATTTACTAATCATTCAGTATGATGCATTTATCAAAGTACCATAACATTTAAAGAAATACTTCACTCAAAAAATGATAATTTGATGAAAATGTACTCACCCTCAGGCCATCCTAGATGTAGATGTGTTTTTTTTTTTTGATCCAAACAGATTTGTAGAAATTTAGCATTACATCACTTGCTCACCAATGGATCCTCTGCAGTGAATGGGTGCCGTCAGAATTAGAGTCCAAACTCCAACTCCAGTCCATCAATGAACATCTTGTGAAGTGAAAAGCTATGTGTTTGTAAGAAACAAATCCTGATTCAGACAAGATGACGTTTTCACTGGAAAAAGCAATATTATGGATAGAGCACTCATATTTTAGCGGGAAGCAAAGGTTTGAAGTTAAAACATCTTAATGATGGATTTGTTTCCTACAAATACGTGACTTTTCGCTTCACAAGATGTTAACTGATGGACTGGAGACGTGTGGATTACTTGTGGATTATTGTGATGTTTTTATCAGCTGTTTGGACTCTCATTCTGATGGCACCCATTCACTGCAGAGGATCCATTGGTGAACAAGTGATGTAATGCTACACTTCTCCAAATCTGTTTCTGATGAAGAAACAAACTCATTTCCATCTTGGATGACCTGAGGGTGCGTACATTTTCAGAAAATGTAAATTTTTGGGTTAACTATTCATTTAAAGGAGACATATTATGCCCCTTTTTACAATATGTAATATAAGTCTCTGGTGTCCCCAGAATGTGTCTGTGAAGTTTCAGCTCAAAATACCCCACAGATCATTTATTATATAATTTTGAAAATGCCCATTTTGAGTGGCAGTCTCTTTAATGCAAATGAGCTGCTGCTCCCCGCCCCCCTT